TTTTTAAAACATATGCAACAACAACAAAAGAAAAGCATGTAGGCCTTGAAACTTATTTTTGGCCTGATTTACTGCTGAACATTTAAAATGAATTTTCAGTGTTTGTAATTTAATAATCAATGAACACTTATTTCATGGGTGTGATGAGACTGCTTTCAAGTTTGCATACATATACATCCTTGTAAGGAAAATATATTAGAAAGACACAGATCACCTTAATCTGTAAGAAAACCAACAATGACTGATGTACCTGGAGGTTAACAGAGATCATTCATATGATGCACGTAGACATATCTTTACCAAATACCACAGAGAGGTTTCAGAATTGTTTACAGTGGTGGTTTTTTTTCCACTACTCCAGACAATGTCTGTATACTTACTGTCACAGAATGTGCCTAATGGATGAGTCCTCTGGCTCCAAGTCTGAGGGACCCAATAAACATCAGTTATCTACTTAGCAGAGCCAGTAAGAAAGGCCAACCTACTGGTCAAGTCTCCACTTAAGGGTAAAGAACAAAAACAATCAAATATTTTAAGTGTGATACCCAAAACAATCTTCAATACAACTTCTTACATGCTTTACATGGAGCTGGATTCAATGAAGGTCCCTTCCACCTCAGGATGCTCCATTCTATCCTCCATCATCAGAAAATTAGCTGATGATATAGCAAGTTAAATAATTCAGTAGCTAATTCTGAAACAATTTCCTCCAACTAAAGCCTTTGATAAAGATTGAGCTTAAAATGATTGTGGCATTAGCAACAGCATAGCCTTTAGGTCAGTGGCACTGAGTCTCTGTACAGCAACTTGTGAGACTGTATTAGCATACCACAGCTAGTATGGGGATTCCAGTAAAAGAAAGGTTTCAACACACCAGAGCAAGCCCAGGGGAAAATCTTAATGATGGATTAGGTAATATAGAAACAGAAACTGAATGACATGGGTTTTTCAGTCCTAACAGGAAATGACTATAGGGAAGGTGCACTTTTGGCGTTTTCAGCCACACAGTGGAAACACTGAGAAGATGAAGTTGAATGCTTCTCAGAGCTAGATAGAAAACAATATACAAGGCAATGAACACGAGACAAAAAGATGGGAAATTCCAACAACATTACAACTTTCTCAGAGTTGTCAAACACTGAGACAGGTTGTCCAAAGAGATATTTGAAACTCAACTGGACACGGCCATGAGCAATCTGATCTAGTATGATCTGCTTGCAGCAGGAGGTTGGGTCAGATAACTTCCACACGTCTCTGCCAACCTAAATTATTCTGTGATCAAACAGCAAGTCTTCGGAAACATTACAAATGATAAAGATGCCAGCAACACAGAAGCTGTGCCTGTATCTATGTGCTCAGCACCTGGAATCACTCACTGGCAAATATTTATCTTACTGATCACATTTTCAGTTCTTCCCTCCATTTCTGCACAAGTTGAAAAGGATTGGTATAGTCTTCTCCTATCAGGTAAATCATTTCCTAATAGTGAATAGGGGAATGAAAGATATTAAATAGATCAACTTGTATGCTGAAACCAATGAAGATGTTACAAAGTCCTGCCTAGCTAGCAAGCTGCTCCTTGGCTAGGAATGACAGAGGAGGTTAACAGTAGCTGTGTTTTTCCTCAGCAGTCTCATTCACTGCTCAGGCTTTCTCCTCACTGAGGTCAAAGACAGACTATACCTTCCACAATCCCTGCACTGCTTCATACCCAGTTCCCACAAGTGCTATAACATCATTACACCCAAGCTGGCCAAGTCAGACTGCAGTTGACTACTGAGAGCTGTAAGATGCTGCTAGAAGTATTCTGCTGAAGTCAGAAAAAAAAGAAACCCTCAGTGGTGAGCAAGAGATTACAATGTTACAGTTACAGTGTATGAGATTTCAGTTATGATGCTGATAGGAAAGTTGAAAAATAAAGGTCAAAAGATAAATCTCTCTGGCAACTACCAGATTGGCTTGGCAGTGAAATAAAATCAGCAGGTGTTCTTTCTTGTTCATCAGAGCCCTCTATCTTTGTCTGATTCTCCTCATCTTTGGAGACATTCCACTATGTAAACTCAAAACTCAGTTCTTCTGACTATCAAAAGCAGACAAGGAGCACTGAGGTAAGGTTGCAACCATCTCTACTCCACTCCATCTTCTCTTCTTGTAAAACAGGGAAGAGGAAGTGCACGAAAAACAGTGTATGAATTCTTCTCAGTAAGCCCTGAATTTTTATATGGTATGGAATATTACATGTCTTAGTCTCAAAAAACACAATAGTGACTGAAAAACTGACACAAATGCTTTTCTACTCCTCATATTCTGAAATACACAGGAAAACAAAAGCTTCTATTTCCCCAAGAACTAATATCCTGCTAGGCCCCTACAAATAATAACAGAAATCAGTGATATACATATAATTACTGTGCAAATAAAAGTATCTAAACTGCAGAAATAAGCAAAAACATTCAAGAAAGTGGTTGAGATTTTTTCCTCTAAACAAACTACCTGGATCCCAAATTCACAAAACCTGCAGTTTCACTAAAAAAAAAAAAAAAAAAGTATAGATGCTACCCTTTAACAGAGGAAATGTGACAGTGACCTCTCCAAAGACTTCTCCAGAGCTAAGGAATTCCTTGTGTGGACATCTTGTCCTTTTGATAAGCGAAGAACTGCGTGCAAGAAGGGAACTCCATTGCATTAGACCAGTAAAAATTAAGTCTTCATTCAGATTTTGTCATTTCAGGAAGCCACTCTACTACATAATGTACATACTCTTCTTCTCATACAACTGGGAGATCAACTTCTCCCTCTCTTTTCAATTCCCACCTCCAGTAGGAAGAGAAAACACTTCTGTCTTCCCTTCTGCCATGTCTTGGATCTCGAGGGAGAAAGTGTTCTGGTGAACCAAGCATAGAATCATAGAATCACTCAGGTTGGAAAAGACCTTAAGATCATCGAGTCGAACCATGACCTAACCATGCTACCCTAACTCTAACAACCCTCTGCTAAATCTTGACCCTGAGCACCACATCCAAATGGTTTTTAAACACATCCGGGGACGGTGACTCAACCACCTCCACCAACCAATCTGTTCACTAGAACACATCTGCACATAGGAATTACGACAGATTACAACTATTTATGATAACTGCAGAGTAAAGTTCTATAGATATCTCACTTTTGCTTTGAGTTTACCAATTTTTCATTCATAGTTACATATTCATAAAATGCTGCTGGCTGAACTTCAGTAAACAATCTTTGTCATGCTTCACCTCCTCATGCACAATCAACTCTGATCTAGATACACCTATTCCATTACACACAATGGAAGGCAAAAAGCATGTACAGCAATTTGAAAATAGCACGTGCATACCACATGCAATTATTACATGAATCACCTGTCTAAACTATTTCTTTCCGTCACATCTTCCTTTGCTACTATTAAGATATTCATCCAAGAATACTGCCAGGATGGCTGCAGGCTTTATTCTGAGATAGCATTATATCTTCTTCCTCTCCATTGTACGCAGTAACATTTCTGGGAGCAAATCCTTGGAAAATCATCACATCTGCAATCTGGCAGATTTAGATTACCAGTGTAAAATTTTCTTTCTGTCCTTCTCTTCAACATTTTGTGCATTTACTACCCCAGTAAGACCAGCACAAGATGGTAGCATTTTGAACTCTCTTATATAGAGCAGCACACCAGTGAGCAGTAGTTGGAAAGAGTTGCAATCTCACAAACTCATTTAACTATTGAAGATTTCCTTTATTGCAAAACAAGACTTGATAGCGCTGACTATAACAGATCCATCTGAGATTGCAGTTTAAGTTTTTTATTTATTTATTTTTTTAAATGTTGATTAGGCCTGAACAACCTACCTCAAGAATTCTTCTGGTATACACTGTTGATTTCACTTCGCTTGACCCATAGTCAAGGGTCCCCCCCACCAGCTCAGCTGCCCAGGGCCCCATCCAACTTTGAGCACCTCCAGGGATGGGGCACTGCATCTTATCTGGGCAGCTGTGCCGCTGCCTCAATGCCTTTGAGTGAAAAAAGTTTCTCCTAACACCTAACCTAGATCTCCTCTCTTTTAGTTTAAAGCCATTCCTCCTTGTCCTACCACTATTAGATCAGAAACAAAAGTTAAGCTGAACAGCTAGAGGACAGCAGTCAGCAGGACACAATTATTGCAAGGATTTAGCCACCTAATCAGGAGTTACATTTTGCAGCAAAGACTGCGGAGAGGAGTTTTAAGCACTAAGAAAAGACAGAGAGATGACAGGGAGACAGCATTACAGATACTCGGGAAGGCCCTGACAAATCCGGAGAGGTGCAAGAGATAGCATCAACGTTCTCTGAAAAAGGGGAAGCACAGCCTAGCCAATAGACACACCACACAGCAAAATACCACAGAGCACCACACACAGTATTTCTTATCTCAGGAAACACAAGCCAGTTCTGAAAGACTCGTCCAGTGAGGAAGAGCCTGATGCCCTCCCTGGAAGAGCACAAGTGAGCTAAGAACACAGCACCAGTCCTGTGGCTTGCTTCCCTATCAGACCCAGACCTGCAACTGTGTTACGCAGCATTTCTCACATAACTCATCTCCCCACTGCAGCAGCGATTTCAAAGGTAATAGTTAACCAAGCGCAAAGCCTCTGAAGACATCCCACTGACAGAAGAAAACGACAAACGTTTTAACGGATTTACGCAGCTACTGTTGCCTTAAAAAGATGCATTCAGGCAACCCTGCGGCTCACTCCTTCCTCCTGCCATTAGCTTACAGCGCGGCGCTACGGCCAGAAGCGTTTTCACCTCACTTTCCTGGCCTGGCAAGCAGGAATAGCACTGCCCACGTCGCGACGCCAGATGAACCTTCTAGAGCGTCGGAGGGCAGCACAACAAAGATGCGGGGTTAGCAGCAGCGCGTCCGGCCCCGCACACCACCACGGGTACAGCGGGGGTCCTTGAGGCCCGCCTCCCCTCCCCCAACAACGGGCCGGCTTACCTATGCCAGGGGCCACGTAGATGAAGTAGAGGCAGGAGGAGGAGAAGGAGAAGAAGAAGATGAACGCGAGCATGGAGCGATTGGAGACGCGCAGCACCTTCCGGAACAGGGGCATCCTCCCGCCGTCTCAGAGCCGCCCGCTCCCCTCAATCCCGGCGCGCAGCGGCCGCGCTTCCCGCAGGGCGGCGGTGGGCTCCTCCCATGGAGCGGCGGCGGGACGGGGGCGAGGGCTGCGCTCCGCTCCAGCCGCTCCCACCGCCCGGCGGAGGGCTCGCGGAGCCGAGCAGGCGACGGCCTGAGCGGGAAGGGTCCCCTAGCGCTGCCGCGGGGCTCGGGGACCGCTCCCGCCGCTAGGCGCCCGCTCCCTCTTCGCAGGCGGCGGCGGCAGCAGCATCCCGGCTGCCGGCGGACAGCCACCTCCGCGCCCAGCCCCTGCAGCCTCTCGGCCCCGCCCCGCCGAGCCCCGGCTACTGCGGCGGTTGGAGCGTGCGCGAGCCGCGGCAGCGGCGGACTGCAGAACTGCGGCGGCGAGCGCGCACCCAACGGAGAGACGATGCCGCCGCGTTATTGCTGCTGCTGCTACCGCGGGCCAATGGGAGGGGAGGGAGAAGTGAACCCATCCTCCCGATTGGCTGCCGCGCGGGCTGGCTCTTGTAACGCCCGGGCGGGGGCCGCGAGGGTCCCTGTGCGTGTCATGTGACGGCAGAGCGGGAAGAACCGTTGGCGCTGCTCCCTTCTGTGTGGGCCTTGTCCGACCCCGTGCCGGTGCTCTACTCCTCTTCATGCATTAGTGAGCAGCCTCCGCGGGTTGCTAAGTGACAAGGGGCAGCGCCATTCCTCCCCACAGCGCCGCCACTGACGGAGGCGAGTGCCAAGGTGCTGGCGGGCAGCCGGAAGAGCAGCAGAGTCGAATTGCATAAGCATCCAGATCTGCTGCTTGAAGGTGTTCGGCTCCATCAGGTGTAGGGTGAGGAGAATGGAAACGCAGAATTGCTGCCCAGTGTTGCTAGATGTTGAAATTAGACGTTTCTCACTACAGTAGAATGCAGTACACACTAGTAATCTGTAACCACTGAGGAGTTTTGTGATTGACACTTTAGTGAACAGCAGAGATACAGGGATTTCCTAGTAATTGTTTCCATGAGAGAGAGAATTCTGCTCTGCCTGTTCTGGAACAGTTCTTGTACTAACAGTACAATCACTGAATCATTAAGGTAGGAAAAGATCACTAAGTTCCCCTAGTCCAACCATCAGCTATCACCACCATGCCCACTAACCACGTCCCTCAGTGTCACATCCACATGGTTTGTGAACACCTCCAGGGACAGAGACTGCAACACCTCCCTGGGCAGCCTGTGCCACTGCCTCACTGCTCTTTCTGAGGAGAAATTTCTCATAATGTCCAACTGGAATGTCCCCTAGTACAACTTTAGGCCATTCCCTCTCATCAGTCCCCTGGGAGAAGATGCTGATGCCTCAACACAACCTCCTTTCAGGGGGCTGTGGAGAGTGATAGATCTTCTCTGAGCCACCTCTTCTCCAGATGGAGCAATCCCAGCTCCCTCAGCCTCACCCTATCAAACTTGTCCTCCAGACCCCACACAGCTTCATAGTCCTTCTCTGGACACACTCCAGGGCCACAATGTCTTTCGTGTTGAGAGGGGCCCAAAAAACTGAACACAGTATTCAAGGCGTGTCCTCACCAGTGTTCAGTATAGAGAGACAACCGGCTCTGGCCATACTAGTTATGATACAAGCCATAATTTGACGAATGTTGTTGCAATGCGTATCAGATAGATGGACAGATTGAGTGATTCATTTTGTCTGAAATGCCTGTAGCAGCTAGGCAACTTGATTTATGTCATTTGCTTTATTGAGCGGAGTATAAAATACAACACTGAACTAATTTATACATACACAATTTAAATTTGAAGCTTCAGATGCATATACAGAGGGCCCGTATAGACATGGACTTGGTTTCATGAAGAAAAAATGTAGAAATAATACTATATCCTTATGTCTTGTTATTATCTCACATTAAAGTAGAATTTGCAATGCTTCTCTCGTATTTCACTTTCATTAATGTTTTTGATATTGGTTTAGAATTTTTTTTCTATACAGAAGGACATTAGAATATCAATACAATGGCAACTAGAAGAATCCAGAATCTTGTCAGAGATAAGAGTGAGATTCATAGTACTTGATATCTTAAGATTAGACCAAACTTTCATGGAAAGTGGAGAAAAATATTAAGTGGTAATGTACAGATCACTGGCTGTGTATATCTAAAAGCAAGTGTCAAATCTTCAGCTCAGCAGTATTAATTTTGTTTTAATTGTATTGACTGCTGGGTGCACTTTTGCAAGATTTTAAACTCTACTGTGATGAGCACAAGAATAATACCTTAAACAAATAGAGATATATGTGAAAGAACATAAAAATGGAATTCTGGGAGATAAATGTATCGTGTTAATCTGAATCTCCTGTAGCGTCCTGCAGCATGACTCACACACAGTTGAGGTAGATGATTAGGTCCAAGCACCTGCTCTGAAAACAATTCTTAAAACACACTCCATCTTCTTTAAATATTTCTTTCTTCTGTAACAAGCTTACTCTACAATAAATAGACCACTTCTTTGAATAAGTCACATTCTTGGGATGTACTTATAGTAAGAAGGAGAAATTCAATTGAGTGTATATTGCTCTTTACCATATTTCATCTTGCAATTGAATTTGCACAGAAGAGTCCTTCATTTAAATTACTCTGGAAAAGATATTTTAAAAGAAACTTTCTCATTCCTCATTGCCATTTTCAGTCTTATGATCTAAAAGTGAATTTTCAGTGGATTGGAAAATACGAAGTCAAATAAGATTTCACAAGAGTAACAACTGAAATCAAAACAAAACAAAACAATGTCTTCAAAGCCATAGTAATGAAAATTTTCTTCAACGCTTCTAGTCCAAACTGTCTTAGATTTTACCCAATTAAGTAAATATTATGCAAAGTACATGAGTGAAACAAAACTAATCAATACCTGCACAGCAGAATGGTCTCACATTATCACCAAAAGTTATCAGTGTTCTGTTATCTTGGAAAGAACATCCTGTGCATCAGGTATTTCAGCTCCTTTCTTTAGAGAAGGGTACAAAGTACCTACAAAAGCCAAGCACAAAACCGTTGCTAACAATAAAAATTAGACCCACTTTACATGTTAAAGCTAACATCTTTCTCTGTCTTTGGATATATGAACTCTTTTACTTTTTTGCTCTAATTGATCAACTAAAAGAGGCCAAACACGAGAAGGTGCATTAGGTGGGTTGGAAATTAATTGGTGTGTGCTACTCAGGCATGGAATCTATTTCAGTGAGAACCACAAACTGTTGTGGCTTTATAATGGTGGACGTAGGGTACTGTGAGACAGCAGGCGGAAAGAAATACCAGAAAACACTGAGTTTAGCAAAAGAATCTTAAACTGCTTTCCCACTGAGTATGAAATCTGCTCCTGACACAAATATCATGGATCTCAGTCAATATTTCTGCTATTTGAAGAAATAGAAGGTGGTATTGTGCTTAAATCACTTGTTAGAATTAGGAGTTACAACAATACATGTACAAATGCGCTGTCCATACAGCATGCAGTTCTACATTCTGTGGCACTAATTTAAAATGTTTGTTTGTTTGTTCTGTTTGTTTTTCTCCTGGTCATTTACTGATATATGTTCATGTTATTTCTTACTGCTGTTCTGTGAATGAAGTATATTCCCATCTTTAACTCTTAACTAGCTATTTCCATTTTTAAATGTAATTATGTCTTCAGTTTGTCTCTCCACTCTGATAAAAATTCCTAATTTGTCTTTCAACTGCCCGCTTCCTTCTCCTGTGTTATTACTGAGACAGAAACACTGCATGACTATCACATCTTTTCTTGTCATTTATCTGTTTAAAACAGATTTTATCAACAACAGATACAAGTAAAGGAGAACAAAAATCTTGCAGCTTTTGCATTCTGTCTGCCTTGTGTCTGCAGGTTTAGTCATTTGTACCAACATTTGCCTCTTCCTTATACACAGCTTTTAAAATCTAATGATCGTATTTATTTGCTTTCTAATGATTGATACTTTATCTTCATTTTCAGCGAGGCCAGTTCAACTGAGTGACGTGGGCGGTAGTTCATCACCCATCAACATCAACAACAAGTTTGCAAGATCCCTCTTCCACTCAACAAATATTCCCCAAACTTTAGCTTTGTTCCTTGCCTTTTCTGTATTTGTAAACTGCAGCAATAAAAACTGATAAACGAGTATAACGTGGTTTTATTATTAATATGACACGTAGCAGGAGAATAGTTACTTTGTTAGTATTTCTCATTGGTACCTCTGTTGTTTGTTTGCTTTTTATTTATTTAGACATAGCAGCTTGATGGGTTTTTTTTAATGAAATTTTGTTCTGGAGGGCAGCAGCATTTCGAAATATCGCGGAACAGTTTCTATGTAATCCTTATTGCACCGTCAAACAATTAAAATGCCTTCAGGTAAAAGTCTCAAAGTAAGAAGCACAAGAACCTGCCTGAGAGTTTCAAGAGAATTCAGTCTGTGTGAGGTTAGGGTAATTCAGATTTTCAAGGATTAATTCACACTGTTACAGGGTGACATGACGAGAAAAGTTAACATTTCTCTTTGTGGCATATAAACACATAAGGCTCATGCCAAAACACACTGAGAACTAGAGTAAAGTACTAGAGATTGGGCTCATGTGCACTAACCTCATTACATAAGTTAAAATCCCATTATTAAATCAAATGTCAATTTGCAACTATAAAGAGAATGTGTTGGAATTTTTCTGCTAATATAATGTTGGTCACGAAACTTATTTTTTACTAATTATCACCTCTGAGACCTCTATTCAAAAATTAGTTTGCATGTTGTAGTTGATGCCATTTGAGAGTATTACTCAGCAAGAGGAACTTATGCACATGCATTCTCTCACAAATGTAAGAAAAAAAATGATACATCATGTGTCTTTTATTTCCTTCATTTCTGTTATCTGCACTTATGGTAGCAGATAGCAACAGAGTTCATATTTCACTCATATTTAATTTTTCTAGTTGATGTTGCTTTTTTGCTTTTAAGTAGATCCAGATGCCATTTCTTATAAAAAGCCTCCATGACAAGCTTAGC